GGCACATAACAACAATAACAACAACAACAACAACATGGATTATTGTATTCTGTTGTAGAGAATGAGTAAGAATCAAATTAATCACAATGGATTTCGTTGTATTTTTTTAAAAAAAGGATTAATCCTTCAACTTTTAAGGTAATTGGGAGGCCCGAACCCTTGGAAATTGGCTTTTCTAGCCATTGTGTTAGCTTCCAGGTACATTAACTTCAGACACATGCTCCTGCAAATCATTAACAGCTGTGACGCCAATATAAGAAAGTATTCTACACACTGTGAGAGATGGAGAAGGTGGTGGAGAGATTGTGAAGAGACTGGCAAGGTGTAACCAAAGGAAATGCTGATTTTTAACAGCTCTGAGATAAAGGCCACAGCTAAAGGTTTTGCTTGCTGGATGATTAGAGGAAATGCTGACTTACAACTTCTCTGAGATGGACACTTCACTAAAGAAGACATTTAGATGGTGAACAAACACATGGATAAATGTTCAAAATCCCTAGCTCTAAGAGAGATGCAAATCAAAACAACTGAGAGATATCATCTCACCCCAGTATGAATAGCAAAATTCAACAGAGCAGCAAACAACAAATGCTGGTGATGTTGTGGAGAAACTGGAACTCTTGTTCACTGTTGGTGGAGTGTAAAATGGTGCAACCACTATCGAAGGCAGTATGAAGATTCCCCCAAAAGTTCGAAATAGAAATACCATTTGACCCAGGAATCTCACTGCTGGGAATATACCCTAAAGAAACCAGAACTGCCACCCAATCAGATATATTCACACCTATGTTTATTGCTGCTCTATTCACAATAGCAAAGAGTTGGAAACAACCTAAGTGCCTATCAACAAATGAATGTATAGAGAAGCTGTGGTATATTCACACAATGGAATATTACGCAGAACTGAAAAACAAAGAACTAATGAAATAGTAAACAAAATGGGTGACCATGGTGGACATGCTGAGTGAAATATCTCAGTCACAAAAAGACAAATACTGCATAGTGCCACTGTTTTAAAGTGGGACTGACATGGAAGTTGGGGGAAACTAAGAATAGAGGGGATAAACAATGTACACTGCATTGAAACAGGTGAGGTAGAGAACTGTATAAAAAGAATATATGATTAGGTATTATTGGTATGATTCAGAATAAGATCTGCATAGTAAAGTGGTCTGGCGGGGGTGGTCGGCTGTTTAACAGTGAAAGAACTTTTTTTCCAAAGAAAAAAGTGAACTGTGGTGGGGGCAGGAAGGAAAATGTGTAACAGTGAATGGATGGAAATGCAAGTTCTTAATAAGCTTATAATAAAATATCAATTAAAAATAGTGTAATGATGTGTATATGTAGAAAAGAGAGAGTTTAAAATTACAATTGAAGTTGTAGCTTTAGCAAAACAAATTGGCTCCAGAGTAAATGGACCTTCGAGCACCTCTATTTTCCCAAACTCTAAGCACCCATCTTTTTTAACTCCTTTCACTTTAGGCTGGTGAATATATCTCCATTTTACAAATGAGAAAACTGAGATATAGAAAATGAAGAATACAGTTTTACTTCTATCAATGAATCATTGATCTCATAGTGTTGAACCTGTCTTTGAATATTTTTTGTGTCTGGTGTTTTTTTTTTTTAAATCCAAACTAAAACTAGCTTGTCAGTTTGAAAGAGTCAAAGCGAAAGTAGTTAAATTAGAATGGATGAAAATGATGACAACAATGGATGGGGCTAATGGACTCTCATCTTGGAGAAATCTTTTAAAATGACACTAAGCAGGATAGTCACTGCCATGTTAAAAAAACCCCAGTTGCCTTCAAGTTAATTCTGACTGATGTAGATTTGATATATGTAAATGTGGAACTGTAATCCATAATAGATTTCAATGACTGAATTTTGGCAGTAGATACTCAGAACTTTTTACTCAGGCATCTCTGCATATATATGAACCACCAATCTTTTGATTGCAGGTGAGTTCATTAACTTGAAACACTCAGGAACTCGACTACCATGCTAGTTAAAGTTTATTTTTGGATTGTAAGATTACGGGTCCACCACTTGTCTTTTATGATGGTGGCATATGTGCTGGAAGCTATGTCAGCAGTCTTTCAAAGACCAACAGCATCTCTTGTGGTAGACATCCTTCACTGAAGATTACATACTAAGACCAGAAAACAGGTCTGAACATTCACTTTTGATATAATAGGTTATTATTGAAAACCCTCAGAATAACAGTGAAACATTGCCTAAATAATGCCAGAAGTTCCCGAGGTTTCTGAGGAAGAGCTGCCTCTTCAAGTAGTATCTACCTTAATGATGTTAAAGAGGGAAAGCTTTTGGCCAATGAACAACCTTCATTTGCAGATGTCGCATGATTGAACACAAAACAAAACAGATGTAAAAAATTACAGCCATTAGTAAATAAGAACACGGATTGTGCAAAGTATGAATCAAGGAAAATTGGAAGTTGTTAAAAATATAA